GTTAGGCTCTGATACCAATTGTTGAGTTAATCGATTGATGAAATTGGCCAAGAGGGGGTGAATTGGCAATTTAAAAATTTGGTGAAAGCTTTTGTAGAAAATTGAAAGTAATTGCACAGCGATTTAGAGTGGTTCGACTTTCTCAACCAAAGTATACGTCCACTACCTTAGCTATCCACACTAAGGATTTTCCACAAATTCACTAATTTGTCTTTCTTTTGATGACAAAGAGTAACCTTACAAACCCTCAAGAATTATACCCCAAATTCTTGAGAACACTCTCTCCCAGAGAGAATAATACAAATTTTGCAAACTTACAAGGAAATCCTCACAAGGTAGATTGTTTGCACAATTCTAGAACAAGAAAAGAACACTAAAAATAATTACAAATGAGCACAAATGGTGTTCTTGAAAGCAAAATGAATATTGAAAGGAAAATTGGCTTGTTTTGCACAAACTTGGTGTTTGATGTTTTCTCTCTTGTTTCTTTATGATTTCTTGTTAATCAAAGGCTTCTAAGCTTGCTTAAATACACCTTGAATCACTTCTGAACGTTGGGGATGATTAGTGAAGCTAATATAGCCTTTTTAGTGTGAAATCAATTAATAAAACAGTTTGGAGCGTAGGGGGAATCGGTACCCCTTGAGGGGAATCGGTTCCCTAAGTGTAAAATTCAAATATTTCGACCGTTACACAGGGGGGAATCGGTACCCCTTGGGGGGAATCGGTTCCCTCCGAGCATATTGGAAATCTCGGAGCCAAACCATTCAGGGGGAATCGGTACCCCCTTGGGGGGAATCGGTTCCCTCTGAGCAATCTGGAAATTTTGGCTTTGAAATGGTTCGAAATATTTTGTAAAATTATTTTGAAATTATTTTAAGACTAAAACTTAATTTTACACTTGAGTAAGGATTAAAAATGATATTTGAAAGATTTGGAGTAATATTTTGATATTCGAATAATTATATCGAATATACTTAGAAAATCTTTTTGGAAAATCTTAAAATTCATTTAACTTAATTTGTTATATCGAAATATCAAAATGTTTTCAACAGATAAATATACCGATAACCGGTGATTTTTCGAGAAAATCGCCTGGAGATAATTTTCTTTCAAATTTAAAATTATTATACATTTTAGATTCTTTTTATATCTTTTCTATTTAAAAATTATTTTACCCTTGGGAACTTTATAAATTTGCTATTTTTTAAAATTTTAAAATTCACCCCAATATAATATTATATATATGGGTTAAGACGTTTTGCACTTAATGTAAAACTTTTAGTTTTACATATTTTCAGGAATGTTAGATGAGGAAAATCAAATGCTGATATTAAGTCATTATTTTTCTTTCTAATGAATATATTCTTATTTATTACTATTAATCTCAACCTTTGATTTTCCTCATTCAATAAACATAAAAAGGTATAAAACTTTTAATTTTACGGTAGTTGCAATTGGATTTTCACCCTTTATATATATATATCCACATTACTCTTTGTTTGTAAAATGTCAGTGGAAAGACGTATGAACGTTTGACTTTTTTAGAAGACAATCGAATGATTTGGCGACATAAGGACTATACAACTCATTGAATTGTATATAACTTGAAAAAATTGTCATGTTTTCTATCCGTCTTTCCCCAAAGATATGAAGCATAAATTCTCTAGCAACTCATTTAAGCCTTTTTTTTTTTTTTCTCTCCATCGCGTTATATAAGAAACTTTATTGGCAAAAGTACTTGGATAATATGTTGAGAAAGAAAGGTTGGTTCATTAATTTGGGGTGTTGGGAGAAATTATATTTTGAAATAAGGTGTTTATTATAGTATTAGGAGGAAGATGCACAGACTATCTACCACCTTTAGAAAGATATGATGTTTTTTGGTTTGTTACTTTGTTATATACTCGATATTGTTACTGCATACAACATGGAAAAACGTCGTCTTCTTAAAGATCCCATATAGTTAATATGTCTTCCTGCTGATATTATAATAAATATCCAATATCAGAAAATATAGTTCTTGAGCGGCCCTAATGTTTTCTCTTATTAGTAAGATGTTCATTTTTTTTGTCTTTGTAGATCGATGGTGACACCAACTTTAATATTGGTTGTTGCCTGTTAGTATTCTTTGTTGTCATTTTATTTTCTTATATTACATCTTTATTATCTTTTGCTTTTTATTTTCAGTAAGTTTGTATGTAGGATACATTTTCATCTACATTTATAGTATGTTTTCTTCTACCTTTTAGCAAGTTTTTCGTTCGTTTGGCCGTTGTTTTCAATTTTTTTAAGGATTGATTTGACATTACCACGACTGATCAACATGACGTTTATTTGTTATATTGTTGATATTCCCTGCTTTAGACTCTCGGATTGAACCTGGATACTTGTTATGCGTTCGTGGATAGTTTTTCATGTCGTTCGAGTCTGATTAACGATTTTAACGGTGGTCATTCAGTAGCTTGATCTTTTTTTATGGTTCGTTTACCGATACAATCAGATATGTTTGTATTTATCATTGCTCGAGTTTTCTTAGTTATATTTTAATATTAATATTTCCTTGTATGGTCCTTACATGATTTTAAGTTGTTAGTTTTGTTTCAATGATTATAGGAATTGTCCTAATTATATGCTTAATTTATGATTATGATTGTAAATTTTTATTATAATTTAAGATATTTCTTATTTTGAATAAAATTAGTGATTTCTTAAAAAAAATCAGAAAATATATCTCCAATATCCTAAATAAATTATTATTTTTCATCTCATTATTAAAAAAAATACCAATTTCGTATATTTTACTGTAGTTGGTGTAGTAATTATTGCTTAAATTTGAAAAATGAGAATTCGCATACCACACAAAAATGTCGGATATATGTTTGCAAATATGTGAGACACAAAATGAGAAAAGTAGGAAGAACACTTTATATGCTTGGTTCATACATAGGGACGTTAATGGCGTGGACTTGTATTAACCCTAATATAAAATTTAAGAGTTTATATTTGATTTTTATTTACTATTCTTAATTGGTTTTTCATACACATGAAGGCGATCATATCAATTCAGTTTACTTTATTCGTAAATGTTATGATTTTGAACTTTTCATTTTACTTAAGAGATTTAGTGCCTCGTCCACTAGACAAACCAATTGTTTGTGATTTTGATCTGATTTTATTATATCATAGTTAGTATTTAACGTCTAGCCTATAAGATCAGTGATTTTTTAACAAAAAATGATGAGTTTAAAACCTATGAATAGTTAGTTGGTAATTTTATAACTTTTAATAATTAGGTCAACAAAGTAGTGTCTATAGTTAGAAAATCATTTTATAACTTTTAATAGTTGGAAGACTCAACAAAACAACCCCTATAATCGGGATCATGTGTGAACTTTACCCTAAAAACGACACATTAAAGATATTAGAGATAACGAGAGGGATTAAAAATTGGACCGAAGCTCAATTAGAATAAATTTCTAGGCTGGGTTTGGGCTTAGACAAGTCCGCCCATAATACTCATTTTCAATTTAGAATAATTAGAATACAAGTTTGTATCAATAATTATATATTTTTATAATTAAATTTAAATGAAATATATATTTAATTATTTATTTTTTATCTTTGTCCGGAAAACCAACCCAAAATGTTTAAAAAATCTAATCTCTAATTTCAATTCAATAACTCGTTCAATTCATGAACAACTCTAATCTTCTTTGAACTCGTTTGTTTTGTTAGACATTGAATAATTAAATTTTTAGAACAATTAAGATGAATAAAGATCAATTAAGTATTTAAATTTAAAAATTAAAAGAATAAAGATTTTATTTGACTAATAATTAAACTGATAATGACTTAAAATATTATTTTATAAAAAATAAAATAAAGAAATATAGTCCCTTCCACCCAACAAATATTTCCATTCCTGGTCATAGGTCATGAGGTCCAGCACTGTTAAGTACAAACTCTATAAACATCCCTAGAAATGTCGTGTTCGAATTTAAAATTTCGAGAGATAATAATATTATTTTAATCATTAAAATCGCTTAATTCGTATTAAATAAATTATATTTTACCAACTTTCTCCCGATAAAACCGCACATCAATACAACCAATGAACAAAAACAAATAGAACTTGAAATTCGAAAAGGTTGTAATAGAACTGTCTTAATGAAGCAGGACAGACATCCATGTTATGTTGTTGATCATGTGATCTCTTTCTTACAGAACAACTAAAACTTCAAAACAAAGTGCCCATAGCCATCCCAACTAGATCCGTCTCAAAAGATGGGTAAATTCTGCATCACTTTTTAAAATAAGATCATTGAAATATTTTATAAAAGGAATTAATTTGTTAAATATAAAATTACGAGAGATCAAAGAATTTTTTTAACAAAATTTTGTCAAGAAAAACAATTAAAGAAACTGTCAAAATCTTCAAACTTTCCCGAAAATTAAACAGAAAGTTTATTTTTCTTTCGAACAAAAATACAACCTGGGTGACATTCATGTGTGGAACTTCTAAATTTTGAGACCTTATAACGTATCACAAGCCACACTTACATATGGATGGACATGTCCCCAACATCAACTTGTCTCTACTCTCTCTGTCTGGTCCCCAATCTGCAAAAATATTAGGTAAAATACATTCACAAAAGCAAGAACATGCCTAGTGCCGACCTCTACCAGGGAAATTAAATGCTTCTCGAGTCCCCATCACAGTACTTTGTCTGAGGGCCTACACCCCAACAGACCATATGCAACTTGTCTGGTGGGTTCACCAACTGGAAACTGCATTAACGGTCATCCTCTTCTCGTTCCCCAACTTGTTCGTTTTGTTTCACATGCATGTGAATCGTACTCGTTAATCTGAACTAGATCCGATCAATTTGAGCGTAAACTTACCATAAACCTGAAGCGAAACTAACCCTTTGAGGTTTTTTTATGCCTTGCAGAAACTGGCTCGACAATTTCATATCGTGTAATGAAATCATGTTCGGTTGCTGCCTGAACGATGAATTCTCTCATAGCAGCTCATGTCGGAATACTAGATTGTTACATTTTTTGTTTCTTAGACAAGCAAAGAATTGAATGAGAAAAGAAAATGAAAATCCAACTTATGCAATGGTCTTAAAACAACAGCAGAGTTTGTATCATAGTTAAACAGAGATGCTTGTAATGTGACGCAGTCGTTAGCTCAGTTTATGAATCCCGTTTAAGAGATCCGAGAAAGAATCAATGGTGTAAACATTCAGTCCTCTTGTCCGACTGGGAGCTCCACCTTTAAGCAAGGATACATCGAGACCGATCCTAAATACACAACAGCAAATTCTTAGTCAACAACCAGAGTGATTCATGAGACTTTAAAATGAAATATGAACTTACAGGTTCTTTGATGCTCTCCCGGTTTCCGGAGTTTCTCGCTTAATGATGATCTTATTATCGATCTTTGACACCGAATGGTTTGAAGGCAATTTGATCCCATCGAGGGCTGCATTTGAGATTTTAAATAAATTTAGTCCCTTTGCATTAAAAGAAATTGAGAAAATAGTCATCAAAAGGTAGTCTTCTTACAAGGTTTAGGGTTAATCGGTGTGCTTCCATCTAGACCCAGAAGTTTCTATAACAAAATTGAACTCATCAGATCGGGGTATGCTAAAGAGCTAATCGCTCGGAAAGGGATCACAGAAGAATTTAAGATGCATATGATGGTTCAAGAGAAAGAGATGTCACCTTAAGATTCTCATAACACTTCTCGAGATTATCGTTACATAATATATGATCAAAGATACCCGAGGATTGCCCTTGTTCGAATTCTGCCTTGGCATTCCGGAGGCGCTTTTGGATTTGCTCCTCTGTTTCAGTGCCCCTATTTACAACATTTCTACATGTATCAAAGGTAGGAAAACAGTATAATGGTAGAAAAGATCAAATGGAAAGTTTGGATACACCTTAAACGGAGCCGCTCTTCAAGTTGCTGCATCGAGGGTGGGCTGATAAAGATGAAAATGGCATCAAGCGAACTGGCCCTCACCGACTTTGCTCCTTGAACATCAATGTCAAGAATGCACCTCTATATAATCTCGAGTAGAAAACAGAAACCTCAATGTTGCAAAGCGAGAAATTTGAAGAACAAAAATGGTATAATCAGAAGAAATACAACTTAAAATCCAAAACCAATGTCGCATCATCAAGTGCAATGTTCGGAACTGATTCAATAGTCCGGAATAACGAGTATCAGATGTGCTACTCACAGAGCATCATGTAAACAGTAAACACTATTAACAGAATAATAGAAGAGATGGCTTTTACCTTTCCCAAGTCTGCTACTGCCACAACTGCTTCGATACTGGTTCCATAGAGATTTCCATGAACGGAAGCAAACTCGAGGAATTTCCCATCTTTTATATCTTTCTCCATTATACTTCGCTCAGTAAAATGGTAATGAACTCCATTCTTCTCTGTACCCCTTGGTGCACGGGTTGTATGGCTGACGGAGAATCCAAACATGGATGGGAATTCCTTCATAAGCATGTTTATTAATGTCCCCTTACCAACTCCGGAAGGACCACTGATAACAACCGGCTTCTCGGCATCACCTCTCACACCCTTACTCCAGGCAACAACTTCAGCCTCCGAAGCTTTTTTCTGCTGCTTAACATACTCGGTGTCCACCTAACAATATTTCAAACATATCAAACACTAAATATTCAAAATGTACCAAAAGGCCACAGTTAAACTAGAACAATCTTAAGCTTTCGAAACATCCACCTCGAGAAACCAAATGCAGTCATCGGGGGTGGAACCAGAAATGATAATCATTATTCGATCTTCATTCAAAAGAATGGCTGAATGGCCTTCATACGGCTTCGGTTTTATTCCCAGCACCGAAGGAATCACCCTGAAAATATTACCAGAACATTTTAACTTGAAAATCTAAACTAACACTTGGAGAAACAAACTGTGCCACCCGCAACGGTTTAAATTGTGATTTGTGATAAATATCGACACCGGAAACTAACCATTTCCCTCGAGATTTGTCACAAATCTGAACCTCAAGGGATGATGTAGAATCATGGTTATTGCAACCAATCACAAACTGCCACAGGGAGATCCAACACAAATCCTCAATCAAAAAAGGGTGATTGAAACATATTAACAAACATAATAAAGACAGACAAATCATAAATCACTTTATGAAGACAAACACCAAATTTAGGCATTAGATCAGCTTACAGTCTTGTCCCCAACATCAGTAGATGTCTGAAAGCCATTGGATCTTAAACCAAATCCATTCGAAAATCCCACTTTTAGATCCTCAACACACAATGCTGGAGCCTCTCCCTGATGATCATAACATTAAAAAAAACAAATCAAATCACAATAAAAATTATTTTTTATACATATTGCCATTGCTAAAAAAGGTTCTACAGCAATATATGTATATGAATATTTATATGATGGTTTTAATGGCTCACCATGGAGAACAAATGCCTCCTAAACAATATTCAGCCTGGTCAATAGAAGAAATAAGGGATCAAATCAAAACAACTCAAATTTATTGGATCTATCATACAATGTTAAACAAAAACAACAAATAGTGAAAGAGAGAATCAATTTACAGAGGATTAGCAGCAAAAACCCAGATTTCACTCTAAAACATTACAATGCATAACATCAAAAGTGTAAGCAGACAATAAATAAAAACAACAAAACAGAGAAACAAGCTACAAAATCAAGTTTCAGCCTGTTTTTATGTCGAAATTCAAACAACCCATTTCTCAAAAACCAGAAAAAGATCAAAACACGAAAGAAAATCCATGTGTCGATGCAACAACAGAACTAAAAAAGGAAGAACAAAAGCTGGAAAATCAAAGTCATACCTTTGATACTATTTTTAATAAGGGTGGGAATCAAAATCAAAACATTGTATTGGTTAGGCAGATTATGCAAGCAAAAAGGGGTGATAATAACAAAAGAATATGGGAGAAAAAAGGGGTTTGCTTCAAATTGATGATCCTTTTTTAAAAAAAGTTATTAATTAAGGCCAAAGTATGGGAATTTGGGGAGTGTCAAAATCAAATCAAAAACTTGGAATTCAAAAATAAAAAATAAAATAAAAGAGATGAAGAAGGTGGATTGAAGAAGTTAACAAGAACTCTTCAAATCCATTCTCTTTTTATATTTATCAAGAGTGGAGCTTCCTTTCCGGTCGCATTCAACTAACGTTAACTTTAATTTTCTTGTAAGGTGCTTGCGAAGCTTCGTTTTTTCTAAAAAAAAAAAAATAATGGTATATTTATTATTATATTATGGTTTGGTGTGTTTTTTAAATTGATTTATCTTTTTGAAATTTAAGGAATCTATATTATTTTAAGATTAGAATTTAAATTTACATATACTTACTTGAATCTTGAATTCATTTATAAATTTAAATAGTAAGATTTTAATATAAATTAAGGTGTAAAGATAATTTTTTTTGGATAAGTTATATTTTATTGTCCAATGATCAATGTTGCTACAAGATCATCCCAAAAGGGAGTATAAACAATATATACAACAATAAAAATGATTAGTATATACCCCAATTACAACAAAGATTAAGGTTAACATTATCGTTTCTATTAATGATTTTGCCTCTAAACTGAATCCGGACAATTTCCTTGATAGAAGTTAGGATTTGATCAGCTTCTCTAGATCTTCGTTAGAAGATTCTTCGGTTTCTCTCCTCCCAAATGAAATAGATGAAGGAAGTCCAAGATAATCTCAGTAAGGTGGATAAAAGAGATTTACCCCTCCATTCATCGCATGTCCATTCAATCCTTACTTCCCACGACAGATATGGTTTTCGCAAATGAGAAAGATTTAAGATAGAGTTCCACAGAGATTTCGCAAAGCTACAGTCAGCAAATAAGTGATTCCTGGTCTCAAGAAATTCATTACAAAGAACACATTGACCATCATTGAGAATTCCCATTTTTAACAGTCTTTCCCGAGTTGGAAGTCTGTCTAAGATGGCCATCCAAGCTATCATACTAAACTTAGGAACATGAGAGGGGAACCAAGTTATTTTGTGCCAAGGAACCTTACTTTTTCTTTCTCTGACAGCTTCCTATATGTCTTTAGTATAATTAGTTCATGCATTCAAAATAAGAAGGGCTGAAGATCTGAGTTTCAAAAGTTTTTTAATGCTCCAGTTGTGGGCAGTGTTTGCTGCCATGTCAATGAAGTCGTTGATCTTGATAACATAGCATTTCAACCATGCAACCCATAGAGATCCTTCACCTGCCAGGATGTTTCGAATAAGCAAAATCATACAAGCAATGTTCCAGGTTTTGATATTCTTCAGGCCTAAACCACCATTTGATTTGGGGCAGGAGATAATATTCCAGCTGACTTGAGCCCCAGAAGCAGCCTGATCTGTTCCTTTCTAAAGGAATCGAGAACATAGCTGATTGATTATGTTAATAACAGATTGAGGAAGCATGAATTGCCTGCACCAAAATTTTCCACACTAAAAAGAACTGTTTTGATTAGTTCAAGTCTCCCAGCATAGGTAAGCATTTTACTAGACCAATGAAACAGCCTTAATTTAATTTTGTCCAGCAGAGGTTGGCAATCATTTTCAGGCAACTTTTTAGTGACTAAGGGAACCCCCAAGTAACAGGAAGATGGACATGCTTAAAACCAAAAATAAAATGAATAATTTCAAGATTTATAGGTGAGATTCCAGCAGCAAAAAGTTCAGTCTTGCTAACATTAAGCTTGAGTCCAGACAAATCATTGAATTGATTTAAAACAATAATGATTCTAGTAATAGATTCAGGGTTTCCTTTGCAAAAAATTAAGAGATCATCGACGAATGAGAGATGAGTTTACCCAATTTTTTTACATTTTGGGTGATACCCAAATATCCCTTTAGAAACAACAATATTAAGGATTTTGGAGAGAATGTTCATGGCAATCACAAACAGAATAGGGGATAAAGGATCACCTTATCTAATCCCCCTTTGACCTTTAAAATATCCAACTAAGTTGCCATTAAAAGAAATAGAATATATGGCTTCTTTAAAGCAAGCCTCTATACACCTTAAGAAGATAATTGGGAGGCCAATGGCTTTGAGGGTAGCAGAAATGAAGTCTCAATGAAGAGAGTCAAATGCCTTTTGGAGGTCAATTTTGAGAGCACACCTAGGAGATATTTGCTTTCTTCCATAACCTTTCACTAATTCTTGAGCAATGAGAGTATTGTCTATTATAGTTCTTCCTCTAACAAAAGCAGACTGGTTGGGAGAAATAACTTCTGGCAGCAGCTTGTTCAGTCTTTTAAAAAGGATTTTGGAGATGGTTTTGTACACCACAGAGCAGCAAGAGATAGGTCTGTAATCTTTAACAGTGCTGGGATTTTGAAGCTTAGGAATCAAAGATATAATAGTATAATTAAAAACAGGCAAGATGGAAGCTTCTTGGAAGAAGAATATGGTAGCTTTGATAAAATCATCTCCTACCACAGACCAAGCTTTTTTGAAGAAAAGATGAGTAAATCCATCAGGGCCTGGGGATTTATCATTTCCTTGGGAAAATTGCATCTTTGATATCTTGATTGGTAACAGTTTTGACTAAGTCTGAAGATAACTCAGTAGGCAAATCAAATTGGAGTAAACTTTTCAAGTACTGAGGATCAACATGCTGTAAATTAGGATCAGCAGTACCTAATTGAGATTTGAAAAAATCAAGGACTTCTGTGGACATATCTTCAAAAGAATCCAGCCTTTTCTCTTGAGCATTGATAAGAACCCTTATAGTGCCATTTTTATTTTTAGTGGCCATGACTGAGTGAAAATACTTGGTGCACTTGTATCCCTCTTTTAGCCATTTGACTTTAGTTTTTTGCTTCAAAAATATATTTTCAGCTTCTTCAAGGGCATCAAGCTTATTTTGAATGGACATTTCCTTATCAAGAGGGTTGATACCTTTAAGAGTATAAATTTGTACTTGTTCCAGCTCTAATTTTTTGAGATTGACACGAGCAGATAAGTTACTGTAAAAGTTATTGTTCAAAGCTTGTAAACAAGGCTTGAGACGTTTAAGTTTAAGAAAAAGAGCATGCATAGGATTACCATAAATTGGGTGCTGCCATGAAAGAGTGACTTCTTCAAGGAAATTAGGATGATTGGACCAAAAGTTGAAGAACTTTAATGGTTTGGGACGGTTGATGTGGGCTTCTTTGTTTAACCAAGCAAGAGCCATGCAATGATCTGAGGGTCTCGGGGCTAAGAATTCAACAAAAGAGTTCTTGAATAAATTGATCTAATGAGAATTAATTAAGACTCTATCAAGTTTCCTTGCAAGGTAAGCATCATTTTGTTTGTTACTCCAAGTAAAGGAAGGGCCAAAAAAAGGATGGTCCTGAAGAAAAAGGTATTGAATCACTTCTTGGAAGTCTTTTATATCAGTGGAGAGATAAGGTCCTAGGTGTTCAGAGTCCGAGCTTTCTTTGAAATGAATGAAAGAGATAAAATCACCCCCTAGGATCCAAGAGAGAGAGTTAAATTGAGGGTTAAGATCTTTAAGGTGCTATCAGAGATGTCTTCTTGTAATGCCATTGTTACTACAATAAATAGCAGTAATGATAAATGGGGAATTGTTGTAATGACTTTTGACAGTAATAGATTGGTCAGAAAAATTACAGAAACTTAAATCAATTCCTTTTTTTCTATAGCAGACAAATTCTTCCATTAGAGGCAAAATCATAATTAGTGAACACATTTCGGCTTCCAAAATTAGAATGTAAAATGTTGTCAGGTTTATCAGCCTTAATACGAGTCTCCATCAAACAAATGATATATACTTTGTAAAGGTTGGCCCTTTTGAGAACTTTTATTTGCTTTTGAGGATTGTTTAATCCTCTGATGTTTCAAAAGCAAATAGTCATTGGGATAAAGAATTTGAGGCTTCCCCTTTTTCTTTATTTGAAGGGGTTTTAACTTTAACAATTTGCTCATTCTTTTTAACTTTAAGTTCCTCGAGAAGGTTTGCAACTCCTGAGGCAGCAGGTCTAGTTTTCTTAACTTGAATTTCAGTACTAAGAGGATTTTCATCAACAGCATTGAGTATTTCAAACCTATTAGCTAAACCTTTAAGAGAAACTTTAGGTTTGGCCTTTATTGGTCTACCTCTTTTTGGAATAAAGAGAGGCTCTTGATCATTTCAGATTGAGACACAGGGGGAATCTCCTCTTGGACAGATTCATCACTGGGAGGTAAAGTAGGATTTAAGGAAATAATTACATCACTAGTCGGGTTGCTGTGAGGTACTAAAGAAGGAATGATTCCATCCCTAGCAGAGATACTATGAGGAACTGAAGAATCATCCTTGGAAGAAAGATCAGTTAGGATAGGAGAATGACTAGAAGTAGCATCTTCTGTATTACTGTCAGTAGTATCAGACTGCTCCTTAGAGATGGAGGAGTTTTGCTTTTGGTTCTGCAATTCTTCTTTACTAGAAGATAAATTAGCAGAAGAGTCAGTATTTTTTCTCCATATTTTCAAAGTGGAATGAGATGTTGATTGTTTTGCATGACAGTTTTTATCAGAATGACCAAAAGAGATACATTTGCTACATCTACTCGGGAACCAGGGAACTTCAACATAGATAAGAGTGGTTTGACCATTAGCAAGTTCTACTTTGATAGATTTTGGAATTTCCTCTTTGGCTCCTATTTCAACACAAACCTTAGCATAATGCAATCTAGATTTAGAAGCAGTGATAGTATCCATAGAAATAGGTGTTCCAAGAGCACTAGAAATGTAACTTAGACCATCATGGGTATACAATCTAGAGGAACATTGTACAAATTAATCCAGATAGGCAGTCGAGCTAAATCAAAGTCTAGTCTTTGCAAATTTGGCTCCCATTTCCTTAAAATAAGAGGCTTATTAAGGATGTGCCATGGTCCATTTTCAAGGACCCAATCTCTCGAAGCATCAGAATTGAAGGAAAAAATGTAGAGATTATTACTAGCGAGAGTGACTTGAACTCTTGCCCCTTTCAAATGATTGTTCCAGAGGTTGTCAATGATTCTCTGCAAAGCAGAGAAATTAGGAGATGCCCCCAAAAATTGGCCAACTAAGGAAGATTTCCAGTCTGCTATTCCTGCTTCAAAGACCTCCGGTGGTGGACAGACAATCGGGGAATTATCAATCGATTTGGGGGGAAAATAAGATAACTTCTGACCTTCTTGACATCTAAAGAGTTTTCTCCAATCCATAGGGGAGAAGAAATTGTGAGATGCGAAGAGAACAAAAGAAGAGAACGGTAGAAAGACGGTGAGATCAACGACGACGCGACAAGAAGAATCAGACTCCATTAGACTTGCTAACGTGCGCCTGGAGAGAAAAATCGTGCGCCTATAAAGATAATTTTATTCTTAATGTTTATGATTTTTTTTAAATTTTAAATTTTTTACCCTTAAAATTGGTGAATCTAATCGAATCAGTAATGTTATTAGTGATTGTTTAATGTTGATATTTTGTGTTTTAGCATTTGTACCTCCATTGAAGCGAACTGGTCAAGATACAAACAAGGCGACTCATGCTTTAACTAGGGTTATTAGGGATATACATGGGATCCGAACCTGATGGGTTTTGACCCGACCTGACCTGATCGGGTCAGATTTTTTTTAAAAAAATTGGGTCGAGTTTTTTTTAATGTGATGTTCGGGTCGGGTTCGGGTTTAGGGTGAAAAATACCTAACCCGACCCGAAAAATATATAATTTTCCTTATATATTTAGGAATAATTACAATAATATCCCTCTATATATTATTTCAATCAAGTCACTATTTTTATTGAATAAAAATAATTTTTTTATTATTTCGGGTCGAGCTAGGTCGAGTTTTTAAGTTATATATCGGGTCAGGTGAAAACTTGTTTTAGTCGGGTCGGGTCGAGTCTCAAGCGGATGACTCCTTGTTCTCAGGTCGGGTCAGGTGGACGAAAAACCCGACCTATGCCCATCCCTAAGGGTTATGGATGATATAGGGTTGGAGTATGTTGTTTTTTTTTTTTATTATTATTGTTATTTTGATATGAGAAGTATAGGAAAAATGGCTCCGATGGAGGTGTTGAAAGAAAAAATGGTTGAAATAAAAGACGAAAAAATTATTTGTTGAAATAGGATAAAATTTACAATGTTATTAGAAGACGTCCAGAGTACATGACTCGAAAGATGGCTGAAGCACCAGCGTCTTCAAGCTTTTTATCCATGGAAGTTTAGTGATGAAACCTTGAAGACATCGGGTGTTTCGATCGTCTTCTGGGAAGACGTCGGGTGTTTCGATCGTCTTATGGGAAGACGTCATGTACTTCGGTCGTTTTTCAGTAGTACTGTAGCTTTCCCCCTAGTTGTGGAAATAAAACAGCATGGACTTCACAATAGAAAAAAAATCGATGTCCTATCTGGTTGAGGAAGCCGAGAAGTATATATATTTTTATTTAAATTTAATTTGATTTAAATTTAAAGATATCTCATCTAATTAAAATTCGATTCAAATTTTATGATAAAAAGTCACATTTGACTAGATATGTTAAAGTATAAATCAAATTGGAAAAAAAATATAGATAGAGAGATATTATAGTAATTATCCCTAAATATATAAAAGAAAATTGTATTCATATCTTGTATCGGGTGAGATAAGAAAATTTTCATTATAGACTCGAATTTGGCTCAATTTGTTCATAATTTTTTTAAAATAAAAAACAGCTCTATTAAAATATTACACTTGTCATGGTTACCAACTATGGTTGACCTCTGTCTTAGTAATTGTCTCTCTCTATTGACGGATTTACATATTGATCCAGGTGAGCAAGTACCGACAATTGAAATTTTTAAATATATCGCTATTCCTACTTAATTTTCATACTCACGGGAAGACCACTACTATCAACTCTTTATTTTCTTTCTTAGAGACAATAATGTTTTTGAATCCTCAACTCTTTTTTCCTCTACCTCAACGGTGTTGGTCATTTAATCTTGAAATCCTATAATTCGTCGAAATGAATACGGTTCTATCTTTGACATCCGACACATTGAATTTTTTGATCCAGTGGCTAATGCCTCAAGTTGTAGGCTTGACTATTTTGATGTTTGTGATTAGAGACATGTATAAAATTTTATGTTAGTGATGAAATTTTAAAATTCTAAAAAAGAAATAATTTATAAAATTCTAAATATGACGGAAATAGACTTTCAATAGAAAATAAAAAAATCTAAAATATACTATAATTTTAAATTTTTAGCTGTACGACTGTACTTACTCGATCAATCCATCCATGCTTGTGATCCTATTGTCCAACTTCAACCTTCCACCTGACTGAATCCGGGGCAGATGTCTCGACGTCGATGCCATATGGGGCTCGACATGCAAGGCCGTGGTGGGACTTCTTGATGTGTTTCTACACTTGTATGCCTTAATTTTCTTATTTTCTTTCTACAAAACAAATGGTTTTACATATTGTTGGGTAAGAAATATTTGGGCCTATTTTTTACTACAATTTTTATCTAATCCAACATCAAGTCTATCACTAAATATATGGGCTAAATATTTAAAATTTACTACTTATACTTTTCTTTTTTAAGAATTTAGTCCTATACTTTTTAAATTAAAAAACTCAAGTCTAATTATTAGTGTTCTTAAATTCTTCTGTTAAATTTAAATCCATCACAACGTTGTTCTTTTATGATATGGTTCCCAAATTAATATTTTTTTATTTTAAAATGTCACATCAATAAATTTAAAAACAATATCGGTATTAAATTTTTAATTATGAAAAATAGAAAAATTAAATTTCTGAAAATAAAAATAAAATGACTAAATTTCAAATGTATAAAGAGTACAAAGACTCGTAACATAATTTAACTCTCCTTTTATTATCATGTAAATATTTTTTTGATAAGTTTAGGTAAATATAAAGTAGTATATGTTCAAAGACTCTCAACCAATTAACAATAAACGCTCATTTTCTCTATCATGTTAGGAGTTAAATAGTCGAAAATTAAATAATACTATATTATACTATTAACATGAGTTGATTCGATTATGTATTCGTTAATACCTTGACAAAAACTAGGATTCAAAACTCACAAATAACTACTTTCAAATCTAAAAGAAATTATTATAATAAACATTAGAATGACCCCTATAATTTTTGTATACTAAATACGTATTTAATTTAAATGATATATAAATAAATTTCTTATTCAAATGAATTAGCTAAAAAAAAGTTTTTCAAAGCTTTAATTCCACACACAAATCTCTTTAGACGTCAATATAGTTTAATTATGTTAGTGTATTGGTTAATGGTAGTGATATGACTTGTTCATTATTTTATTATTAATTTAATATTAAAGATTATATATTTCTTTTACATAATTACCGGTATTCAATTTATTGATCAACTAATTCAAATAAAGTACTATATAGGTTTGTTATAGTAGTGACTATTTCAATACAGTTTACTTCACCCATAACGTTATAATTTAAATCATTGTCATTGCTTATGAAATCTGACATTTTCAACTTGCTAAACTAATTATATATTATATTTTTTTACAAGATAAAAGTTGCTAGTATTATTAAAATTAAAAAAAAATAATCAAACTATAATAAAAGTTTACAATCATAATCTTAAACTAAAACACATAATAAGACCATTTTTCTATAATAAATATATAAGAAACTAGCCATTTAAGATTACAATGACCATATAATGAAAATATTTAAAACTTTACCAAATAAACTCGAATAAAAGATAGATATGAACATATAAACAAACTATAAAAGAGAATCAAACTATTGAAAGATCACCGATAAATTGTAAATTAGAATCGAGTGACGTGAGAAAACTATCCTCAAACTTAAATCGCATATCCAAAATCAATTCGATATGATAACAAATTGGCGCTATATTGATTTGTCATGAAGATCTAAAATACAACCTTGAGAAAAAGAATAAACTAAAATAATGGATGGTCAAATGACTGAAAACGTACCAAAAAAATAGATGAAACATGTCATAAAAATAAAGATAGAAGAAAATATATCATAAAGATAAAACTATTAAAAATTAAAAATAAGAGAAAATATAAAGATATGGCCTAAAAAAAATAATGAATGCTACCAATTCATGACTAAAGGTTGTGTTGTCATCTATTATAAAGATAAAGGGAAAAAGAGAGAGATTAAAGACGACACAAGAAAAGGGCAAATAAATAATAATAATTTTAAAATATTACAAACAACATAATATTTAAAAGGAATGTGGATTGGTTAATGATAGTGAATAGAGTGAATTTTATATTTTTATGATGCAATTCTTTTCCAGAAAAATGTTATTTAAGTTTTTTTAAAAAAAAACATTATTTTTAAAACATATCATTTTATATTATTTTCCTTTTAAAATTAAGCTAAATACTATAACTTTATATCTAAAATATAAAATAATTTTAAAATTTTAGAGATGAATTGTAACCCCCCAGACCGATGGGGGGTAGCCCGATCCGATCCGGGAAGTCACATTAGGGCCACCGGAGCGACCCACTGTAAAAATAGCGGAAAATTAAAAACTTTTTATCAGAACATGTAAACTTATAAAATCATTTGTCACTATTTAAAAATAAAACATATTTCCAGACTCGTATATAAATCAAAATACAATTACATGCCCCCTAATCACATGTACCATACTCTGCAACAACGCCGGAAGAACTCCCTTACTGA